AGAAGAAGAAGAAGAAGAAGAAGAAGAAGAAGAAGAAGAAGAAGAAGAACTTCTTCCATGCTTTGCACAATTATCGGCTTCCATGTGCAAACAGTGGAATGCCAAGCATGTGGATGGTTGCTTACCAGGGTGTGTCACCCACCCACTTGCTAACCTCACACTTGCGGGTTGGCCCAGTTGTGTGTTTCTTTCACCTGACCTGCCTTACGTCATCCCAGGACAGCTGCCTTCACACAAAAAATGACACAACTGGCTGGAACAACTGGCTTGCATCGCTTCCCACATGAGAATGATGTTTCTTTTTTTTTTCCTGGATTCGCCCACTTGGTTGGCATTCCTAGAAACTCCAGAAGGAGGGAAAAAAAACCAAAAACTACAATTTCCAAAGAGCAGACAAACCCACAAAGCGCATGGCGTGAAATACGACCTCGGTCTTGAGAACGAGGGACAAATGTCTCCTGTTTTCTCCTTCAAGCATCCGATGAGCTGGCACCTTTCCTAGGAAAACCTTTTCTCCTCTGACCTCAGCAAAAAAAAAAAAATCTAATTAAGAATTTAGCATCCCAGGCCAAGGGGAGAGTGCAAGCAGCCGTAAGGTGCTAAATTTATCTTGGTGAGCAGGAAGTAGCGATGCTCAGTCAAGAGTTCTCCTTCCTCCTCCTCTCCAAAGTCCTTTTTTTCCCCTTGAAATATTTGTTTGTTGTTTTATATCATACATTTCCTTTCTATGTTGAGCAGTGTGCTCTCTAGGCGTCCAAGGGGTTAACATACATACAAACCATCATCATTGTGATCACACATATGTATATCTGCCTCTGCTGACATCGTCTGAGTATTAAACTACCATTACAAAGATCCATGCCTTTATATATCATTAATAGGCCCTTCCACCCGCCTCCCACCTGTAATTAACTTTGTTGTTTTTGCTTCCGTCATGTTGGTCGATGGAGATTTAATCCCTGTTGCTTCCTCCCTTGCCAGACCCAGCTTGGTTTGCTTATCTCTAAGGAGTGATGTTAACCTGACAGCGATTGCAATTTGTTGTTTTGCCTGTGACCTTGGGGTCAGCGAACCTATGGCACACATGCCACAGGTCACATGCAGAGCCATTTGTGCCGGCGCACGAGCTGCAGGGAAACTGACCTCACTGCACATGCGCGTGCCTCCCAGCTGCTTTTCGGCCTCCCAGAGGTTTAAGGAAGGCTTCTGCAGGCTTTGCAGACTGAAAACTAGGCCCGTTTCGTCACTCCCTGTTTTTCTGGAAATACCGGGAGTGGCGAAACGGGCCTAGTTTTCGGCCTGCAGAAACTTTCCTCAAGCCTCTGGGAGTCCAAACAAGGCCTCAAACTGGTGGAAAATCAGCTGTGAGGCACACTGTAGGTAAGGGGGTGTGGGGATTGTGCACACATGCTTAGGGGGTATGGGGCGCGCATTGCCTTCTGGGTGCTGGCACACATGCACAATTTTCGGCACAGGAGTCCAAAAGGATTAGCCACCACTGTTATAACATATATTATCTTCCACGATAGTATCGATTATATAACCATCAGAAATATATACTCATCTGTTTCTCTTCCTCCTATAAACCACATTTCAGTCCTTTAACCTTCCTGAGATGCTACCAGCAGGCCCAAGGCTTTCTCCTTAATGGGAGAATCGGATCTCTTCCGGCAAATATCTTTGCTGGTTGTTTTTTTTTTTTTTCAAGGTCTGGGCCATGAGATCTATGATTTCTCTTGAGTGCAAGTCATGAATGCAAGGAAATTGATTTTTTCCCACTGTCCTTGTAAGTTCAAACAATTGCTCCAATTAACTCAAGGATCGCCTGTAGATAGATTTTTCTCCCTGAACCTGGTTATTTTGGGGAATTGGGGTTTGGGGTCCTGGTAGCAATTGGTCCCCAATCCCCCCCCAGAGCCTTGCAGAGAGAAAGCTGTCCGTCCATGCCGTTGAGACTTTCAAGAAGAGATTGGGCTGCCATTGGTCAGAAATGGTGCTTGGGCAGGTGGGGTTGGACTAGATGAGCTACAAGGTCCCTTCCAACTCCTGTTAATCGGTTAAATCTGTTAAGCCAACATTTCCCAGGTTTTTGTGAGCCTGCAAAGAAAGCAGTTTGGGAGTTTTTCTCCGGAGTGAAACTGGAGGAGTGACTTCCCTTCCTTTCCCCGACTCCTGTGCGCGCCAATGTTTGTTTATTGCTTTTTTGTGTTTTCCTTTCGCAAGAGGTACAATGGTCTCCCCCATTTGGGCATACAAAAAGGCAGGAAGGGAGGGGACAGGAAAAATCTGGGGAATGGAGGAGCGGCCGGTCCATTCTTGGTGCACCAAAACCAAGCAAGGCATTCCAAGAAACCTGCTTCCTGCAAATTCCAGGGTGGCCTGTTTGAGCCACGATTCCTCGTAGCGGGGAAATTGCGGGAGCTGCAACCTTAGGAAATAAAGAGAATTTTCCGGAGAATAATTAATCCGTGGAACGACATCCCTCGACTAAAAGGACCTCCAGAGCTCCCTTCCTGTTTATTCTGTGGCTCTGTTCCTCTGCTGGCTGAGCCAAACAGGTATCCCACACCTGTGGGTCTCCTCTTCCCCTTGCCAAGTGGGACTTTCCCTCCCTTTTCAGACTCAGCTGTCTTGCTTAAATTCAGAAGACATCAACCTACAACGCAGGTTCCTTTTTTTCTCTCGAGTCTTTAACTCTCCCAGGGAATTGCAACTTGGAAAAACTAAAACAAAAAATCCCCAAACACCGGAGGGGGATTTGGGGAAAATCATCACTCGAGAAGCCACCCCGTAAGCTGCAAGATGTTCTAGCAAAGGTGTGCTGGAAGCAAATCCTGGGATTTGCAAGTTAGGGAATTTTTATTTTGTTTTAGTTTATTTTGCTCTTGGTCTTGAAAAGCTTCCCAGGTTCCAGGAGATGTTTAAAAGCGGTTTTTTCTCTTTCTCTCTCTCCCTCCTTTAAATTCCTCGATTCAACTGGAAGCCGGGCGCTTGTGGAATCTCAATGAAACGGCCCCACAATGGCGCTCTGTGAGAAAGGAGGTCAGGGCTCCCCTTCGACGAAGTACGACGAAGTACGGCCTTCCCCGGTCTGTAGAAGCAGCTAACCGGATTTAAAACCTGCAAGTTGCATTGACTGAACGTGGGAATGCATGCAGGACTCTGCGGGAATCCAACCCCGTCCTTTTGGAAATTATAGTATGGGTTAGGGGTCCCCAAACTTGGCAACTTTAAGACTTAGGGACTTTGTAAATGTTTTGACAGCAGCTGGAATTGTATTTGCCAAAAATTGGAAAAGTGAAAAAATTTCGACAGAAGAGGTAATTAAGAAAATCATGGAATGTGCAGAAATGAGTAAATTGACATTAGCAATTAGAGAGCAAGAAGACAAAGGGTATTATAAAATTTGGGATTTATTTTATCAATGGCTAGATAAGAAAATAGGGAAATAAAATATAATACAATATAAATATAATAATATAGTAAAGATAAAACAATGTAATACGTTATAACTGATTACAATGAAATGAGTGGTATCAATTGGGATATGTAAAAATTGAGATTTGCTCAAAAAGGATGATGTAATTTACAATTAAAGTCTAATAAGGAGTTAATAATATAATATGCATATTTATATAATATGAATTTTAACAATGCATCTAGAAGATATGTACCAACCAACATGCTGTATAATGGAAAGATGTTTTTTTGTTCTGTGTTTGTGTTTGTTTATGTTTGTTAAAAAAAGAAAAAGAAAAAAAAAAGACTGGTAGACTTCAACTCCCAGAATTCCTCAGCCAGCCATGTCTGCTTTTTTCCTCTCTCTCGTAATCTCCTAAAGTGGAGAGAGATTGCAGAGGAAGGGATTGCAAGAGAGTCAGCTATGCTGGCTGGAGAATCCTGGGAGTTGAAGTCCCCAAGTCTTAAAGTGGCCAAGTTTGGAGACCTCTGTTGTAGGGAGTCCCGTGCTATGAACATTGAGCCCAACCTTCCTGTCGCTAAGCGAATCATTGCAATGCCCATTGAGCCCCAAATTCCAGTTGCTAATTAAATCACTGGTTATGTGCTCCGTTTTGCGGCCTTTCGTGCCACCGCTGTTAAACAAATCACCGCCGTTGTTCACTTAGTCACACGGTCACACTGCCACCGTCACACCTACGAGTCAGTTGCCAAGCCTCTGAGTTGCGATCACGCGACCTCGGGGATTGCTGCAAATGGTGTGGGGTACCTTCCAACGGTCAGTAAACGAACTGTTGTAAGTCGAGGGCTAGCTGGATAGGTCGACTTAACGACCAGCTACCCTTCGAAGTTATGACGGGTCAAAGGAAGAGGAAGGCGGGTGGAATAAGTTATTTGTGAAACTATAACAAAGGCGGGAATACAACTGAATAAATAAAAGGGAATTTAAAGAAATTCCCTGCTTCCTTTCACCTCGGCGGCCTCCGTTTTCCCTCCCAGGCGATCAGCATTAGCAAAGCCATCAACACCTTGGAAGTCCCTGTGAAGGAGAAACACGCTCGGAGTATCCTTTCACACACCCCACGGGTCACCCGTGCTCGCCTGACGTCCCTGAGGTTGGCAGGGAGCATCTGGGGGGAAGTTTGCAAACTGGTAGTAAAAAGAAGCGAGCAAACTCCGGGAAGGAAGGGTTTCTGCTTCTGGGATTTTACCGGTTCAGCTTTACACCAGGAAATGAGAAACAGGGTTAGAAGGTAAATAAATGTTTTATCCAGCAACTTAATTCCTAGACCAAACTGGTTTTTCTCTCTCTTGCTCTTCCTCTCTTTCGTTCGTTCTCTCTATCTGCTCATCCATCACCTTTCTTTCTCTCTGGCTATCTCTGTCTGTCTGTCTGTCTGTCTGTGTCTATCTTCCCATCATTTGTCTCTCCATCCACCCATCCATCTTTCTGTCCACGTCTCTCTCCATCAGCTTCTATCTATCTATCTATCTATCTATCTATCTATCTATCTATCTATCTATCTATCTATCTAT